TCAAAGCGCTCTAACACATACAAATGGCAAAATACAGAGTATCCCCAAAATGTTTTGTGGTTAAAGCAGGAAGTGTCTTACTCTGTGTTGCCTCTCCACACTTTGCGCACATACTCCACACTACCAGTGTGAAGTGAAGAAAGTAAAAAAATAGTAAACAACAGCATTGATCAGGACTGGCTAAATTATTCTGCAATAACAGAGTACTCAAACAAAAAAACAAAAATCCCCTGGCCATCAGTCACTTAATTCATTCTTTTTCCCACACTTAGAACAAACATATCTCCTCCCAGGTTCTAAAAAGTCACCACATCCAGGCGGAAATCCAGCACCTCTGAGTGATGCTCGGAGTCTGGGATGTGGCTCCTTTCCATCTGTAGACCTGTGATGTGCTCTCTCCTTCTCTCTGCCATTTTTTGGGACAGAATAACAGTAATAATCCCTCCAAACTGGAAAGAGGAAGAACAAGAGACACACAGCAGCTTCTCATCCATGACAATTGTGAAATTTTTCTGAGCATATATTGTGGGGTTTATACCCAGGAAACAAGGAACAGTACTTAAGCCCTGTTTCTGCTCTTGGAAGAGTTCTCTTCCCACTATTCCTCCAATCCCTGCATCTACCCTCAGAGATCATCTTTGGCCACATCTGAAGCTTGTATTGAGTCTCAAATAATCATAGTCTCTTTCAGTCTAGGTTCATGAGTTTCTTAGGCAGTAGTCATTTCTCAAAATTCAGGAGACTTTGCTAATAACCAGAGAATTGCTAATAACCATACTATTGGTCCTATTTTAAAGACATATTTCTGTGCTATCTTGCTTCCTTACCTCTCTCTGGATTTAAGAGAGCTTCTGTGGCAAAGTTATACTCTTAAGCTGAACTTTTTTCTGAGTCACTTTGACAACGAAGAAGTTTTAACATTGAGTGTGGTGCCTATACATAGCCCTGAGGCTGAGTAGTAATCTGCCTTCATAGTCAAAGACTAAATTTTATCTCTGATGTTTGAGGTTTAAAAGCATTTCTGACTTTGCAAGGTCCTGAATTTCTGGAATCTCTCTATTCTCTTTCATTTTATTTGTAAACTGGCCAATACTTTCCCAGCTCATTTCCTCTTCATAATATATTGCCAGACATTGCCAATAGCAGCCAACACACACTAATGTTTTGTTTTCAAACTTCATCTTCTAGAGGTATAAATCTATTAGGTTTATAATCTATATCCCAAGTAATCTCAGACAAGAGTTTTACTAAATGTCCTGCCACTTCATAACATGAATCCCTTTTTCTGTAGCTCTCAATGTCAGTTTCCACTGTCTGACCATTAAGCCAAGGACTCATATTTTAGATTTTTGCTGGAACCCTACCTCTATTACCAATATCACTATTAGTTAGTACAGGCTAGTTTATGCTTCCTGTGATAATCCTAGAATATACTTCTTGCTCATGCTACACTCCTCGTGTTTGTCATTAGGAGGATTGTGTTCCACATCACAGTCATGTAAGGATCAGCGCTGATGGAGGCTTCATCACCTCCTCTCTACACCATTAGAGCAGCCCACCCCCAACTCCTAGAGGCTTGAAATGATAAAGGATTTGATTGGGTGATTTTTCTGCAGGATGAGCTTGGGATCATTCATGCAGCTGCATGCAGTTGGAGGGTTGGCTGAGGGATGAGTTCAGCTGGGAAGTCTGGGCATCTCTCCCACATGGTCTTTCCTTTTAGGGAGACTAGACCAGGCTTCCTCGCATGACGGCAAGAGGGCAAACCTCAGTAAGCAGTCGTGTGCTGATACCTCATTAGCTGAAGAAAGTCACATAGCCAAGCTGTCAGTCTTGGAAGAGACTAAACACACATGGATACTGGGATGTACAATCCCTTGGTTATGTAAGAATCTACCATAACCATTGTTGTAGAACAGGAATCAGCAAACTTTTTTGTCAAGGTCTAGATAATAAATATTTTATTCTTGGAGCCCATACAGTCTCTGTCAGAGTTTCTCAATTTTGCTATCAGAGACAATATATAAATATTGTACTGTGTTTCAGTACAATATTAACAGGCAGAAGATTGGATTTGGACCATTACTCATAGGGAACATAAAGCCTTTATCCAGTTTCTGCAGCAATGGAAGAAGACTGGCTCTTTTATATTTTGGCTCAGAAGTAATACATGTCAATTCTGCCTTTTAGCCCATTGACCAAAACTAGTCACACAGCCATACCTAACTGTAAGGGGACGAGGAATATAGTTCTGCACTGTGTCTGGAAGAAAGGGGGAGCTAGACGTGGGTGGGCACTAGAAGTATCTACCACAGGAGCCACGTTGAGGTGATATCCACTCAAATCTGTACTGAGTACCAAGCACTGGTTATAAGTACTAAATATAATGGACACAAAACCATCGCCCTCATGAGCTTATACAGAGACCATGATGATTAATAGACTAAGAAGGAGAAGCACCCTATACATCTCTGCCCTGGAACCATTTGTTATCTCATGTGTGTACTTAGGTTCTTTACCACCTGGGATGTGAGCAACTTGGGGGCAGGATTTTATCTTCTCAGTACCTACTACAGAGACTGGCTCTTTGTAGGTATACTTTAAGTATTGAATAATTGATTGGGTGATTAAATGAACAAGCCATCAGACTAAATCAAGGATTTATTTTGTTTCTGGAGGACCTGGTTTAGCTGTGCCTAATTTCTGTGGCCAGGCACTTAGGTACCCAACTCCCTAATCCCTAGAGCTGCCACTGCACAAAGTACTTGATCTTGTGAGTTATTTCTCCACATTTGAAAAGACACAGGATAGGCTCCAAGAATTAAAGTCCGTTTCTTCCATTCTAGTGGTGAGTGAAAGGGATACCAGCAAAATTTCTCTCTAGAGCCCAGATTTTTGGCTAGCAGAAGTACCTTAAAGGTTTAGGTTAATTCACTTGCTTTCAAAGTCCCTTGGGCAGTTAACAGAAACCGTCATCTTGCCTTATCTTTACTATCTTAGTGCAAGTATCTTCATTCCATAATGTCTGAAGAATACTTTGAGAATGAGCAAAACAATAAATATTTCCCTCTTTTGATGCCCTCCTGTCTCCTTTGATGGGTGGTAGTTCCAGTGTTTAACATTCTCTGCTAAAACCCTAGGGTACACACTGAAGTTATGGACAGTTACTGAGAGAAGGGAATATAAACAGTAACATAGGACCTTCAAAAGGTTTATGCCTTTCTGTGGACAAATCTCATGTCTGTAAGCCTAGTAAAAAAAGCATTTGACATACATTACATATCATATAAAAATAATTACTTTTATAAATGTGAGTGTTTCTCAAAAAATACCTGCTTTGTTTTAAATTCATGAACTAAGTCATTTTTTAAGTTGGCTAAATTCCAAATTTTATCGGTCAAGTTCAATTCTTACCACTGGAACAAATAGGGCAAATTCAGGATGCAGAATCTTTTGAACAGGTATGTTTCCAAAACAATCCATTTGGGAAACATGTCTGTAAAGAATGCAGACTGACTCTTCTGTCCTTAAGACGCTGACAATCTAGTGATTAAGTCAGGTGTATAAACAGTGACTATAATACAAGCAATAATATTTGTGATCAAATAGAAATAATGTTAAAAGTACTTGAGGAATATAGGAGTAGGTATCAAGCTGAGGAAAGGAATAGAAAAATTAGAGAGTACCTTCATGGAATTAGGTGTTCTTAAGTTAATGTGCAAAGACACACTGGATTTGCGAAGGACTTACCCAGTGAAAGTGCGTTCTCAGCACAGGGAGTGCTGAATGGCAGACAAGGGCCTGAGCTGGAGCAGTGGCTGTAGGGCGAAAAAGAAGGCACTAGAGGAGCTGGTGGCTGCCGGCCTGCAGATGAGGAGGAAGGAGGCAGAGATGATATCCGGTGCCCCGGATATGGAACACAGTCAGAATTTCTGGAGGAGGAGCCACTGTACAAGAAAGAAGCCCAGTGTCTTTGAAGTCACTTCAGACTTGAGTCTCTGACTCTTCCGGGTGGTTCTGTGTACACTCTTCCTGCTACCTATTCATTTGGTCAAAATCAGAATACATTCTTTGTATCTGAAAGCAGGCACCCAGCTTTGTTCCTTCACCCAGGAGTTTTCAGTCCTTCTGCTTTTATTTGCTGTCCTAGTAATAATTAAGGGCCCAGACTTGGACTGAATAGATATTTCAAATCATCAGAATCAACATTCCTACACATAAGGAGGTTCTTGCCCCTGCCTACAGGTAATGCTGGTTGTGAGCATGATGTTCTTGGAGTTGTTTTTCAAATAGTTCTGTTCTGTTTTCAAATATTTATCCATTGAAGCAGTGTGAGTATTTAATGCTGAAAGGACATCTGTTCTGCTGGCCTGGCACCTGGTTTCTGAGGTAGAACTTTTTTTAGGTCTTAGTCCACCTTCTCATAGAAGAAAAATTAGTTTTGACTCCAAGCAAATGAAGTTATCTGACATTCTTGTTACAAGTTATGTGAGGGTTGCTGAAGGGATTATGGCATGTCTTACTGGCAGGTTTGGGGGTATATTTTGTGTCCCCAGCACAAAAGGGCTTCCTTGTAATAGGAAGTCAACTCTCAAGAGCCTGGAAGTTTTTTGCACATTGCATTTCAAGTACTTAGTTGTTGGGCTTTTTCCACAGAGATTCATATGCACACACAAAGCTGGCCCATGGCCGGGCTCCCGCCCGCACACAGCTACTTGCCAGTTCCAAAGAAGCAGGGAATGAAGACACTCATGCCCTGTCATCCATCGTTTTTTTTTTCTATGAACCTTACAGCTGGATATTGAAAAATCTGGATTTGATCTTTCTTTCCTTTTTTTTTTTTGCTTTCAAGTCAGCTGAATAGCCTGTACACATGGATATTAAGAAATATAACCAGGAAGTATTGTCGTATTGAATCAGAGCATAAGACATTTGAAGTCAGCCATATCAGTTGTGTTTCTTACTTCTTTTTACTCAGATTTTTAATATTCTTTTTATAGGTTGTGTTCCTGATTGGCTTTGGCTGTGTATATGTGGACATTGTCCATCAGTGTGGCACAGTCTTCATCACTGTGGCCCCAGAAGGAAAAGCAGGACCTATTTTAACCAATACCAACAGGTAGGCTTAATGATTATCCCAGCAGCAGTTATAGTAAGCTTTCCCATTATTAATTTGTAAACCTACTGTTTACCTTATTTTGTCATCCCTAGATATACATTGAAACTTTTGGTTAATTATTGTGGAATCCATAGGATAGGGTTATTAGTATTAATCCTACCTATAATAAGTAGCAATATATCATCTTCCTTGGGTACCCCTTCCAGTTCTTCTGCGTGAAATTTAACAGACTGACTTACAAACTATGGCATGCATCTTAGGATCTATATTATCATTAGCATGAAATGTAAATTAATACTTCTGTGTTCTCATGACAACCTAGTAATTAGGCTTAGCAATTAGAGGTACATTAACCACTTAGAACCACATTTTCCTCCCTTAAGCTGAGTGCTGCCACCATTTCTTACTAACATAAACCAAAGAGTTAATATCCTTAATTTAAGAGAGCACACATAGTTCAGTAGGAATGATATGAAGACAGCTCCTCCTTCCAGAAGTAAAATAAGGTCACACACATGAAAAGAAAATTCTAGGAAGAGGAAATATAAGTAATGAAAGAAATGCAAATTTAAATAAGACATTATTTGTCAAATTGACAATGATGTTCCCTTATGTGCAGTCCTAAAAGAAGTGTCAATTATTACCATTTTCTGGAAAGCACTTTAGCCACATGTATATTAAGACCTTTAAAATCCCTTTGGCTAGGAAATTCCACTTTTAAGAGTTTTAAGAATTTAAGAATTAGAGCAGTAATTATAAAAGTAGGTAAAGACATGTGGAGAGAGAGATTTATCACATTACTAATTACAATGGCAAAATATTCAGAGTACAAATGCCCATCAGTAGGGAAATGGATGATACATAAATATACCATAAATGGTATAGCCACAGAAAAGAGGCTTATAGGATTATAGTGGAATAGAAAAATGTATATGATAAATCTAAAATAAAACAAACGAAACATAAAATTAAATATATAAATATCCTTGTGTGTCATATGTACGCATATACATGTAAGTACATAAATGCACACATTCTGTCGCATGCACACATGCACAGAACATTCCTAGAAATAAAAAGAAAAAGAATTAAAATTGTTAACAGAGTCAGGTTATAAGTATTTTAATAATTTTCTATACTTTAACTTTCTATAATAAGTATATAATCAGAAAGTTTATTATTAATTCTAAAATTAAGTTAAAATATAAAACAATACCAACTTTCATACACTGGTTTAAGCGCTCTTTTAAGAAAGTTCCTTGCTTTTCATATATGGTTTAGAAACTCCTTAATGTGGACCCTGCCAAACTACTATTAATTTGAATTTATAGTATTGCAAAGCAAGGTTGTATTGAATGTTTTCTTTGCCCAGAAGTATTTGTAAAAAATTAATAGTATAACAAAATTGGAGACTACATTTTAAATTGCAGTTAACACAAAATTTCAAGCCTATATAATTTTAGAAACATTTTATGTAGGGCAATAGTAGGACATTGTTAATGACAAGAACAGCAATCCATATATTCAATGGTAGAAATAAGAAAGGCAAAAATCTTTACTTGTATCCCCTTAATTCATTTACTTAACAAATATTTTCAAAGTGCTTAGTGGTTACCAATTACTGTTCTAGGAATGGGTTACATTGGTGACTAAAAAGACCAAAACCCCTGCCCTTGAGGAGATGATCACGTTCTTTTCTGTGTGGAATGGGTAGACACAGAATAACATAATAAAAAAGGAAATGTTTTGGCACAGTAGAGGTTGGCATCCTAGAGGGACAGAAACAGGGCCCAGGAAGAAGGACTGCATGTGCCAGGGCACAGGGACTGAGAACAGTCTGAGAAAATGGGTCCAGGGAGGCCTCACCAAGAAGGCAGCATTGGAGCTAAGACTGGCAAGCAGCAGGGGTGTTAGTGGTGTGATTCCTTGGGGAGGGCTTCCCAGACAGACGGCACAGAGACTCAAAGGTCTGAGGCAGTGGGCCTGGCTTATTGGAGGAGCAGAGAAGGGGCCAGTGTGGCCACAAGTGGGTGAAGTGGGTAGTAGTGCCTGAGGCCAGAGAGGTAAGGGCTGGAAGGCGGGAGCACATTGTGAAGGGCTAGTTTTAATTCTGATTGAAATGGGGAAATCCTTGGAGCATTTTGAACAGAGAAGTGACATGATCTGACCTAAATTTTTAGATTGGTCGCTCTATTGAAGTAGACTGCAGAGAAGCCGGGTGGAAGCAGGGAGACTAGTTAGGAGATTACACTAGTACCTCCCCCCACAGTGAGAGATGCCGATGACCTTGACTACAGTGGCTTCAGTGGGAGTGGTATGAAGTGGTCAGATTATGGATATACTTTTTAAAGAAAAGCCAAGGGGATTTCCCTGATACACTGATAAGGGTTAAAAAGAGAAACATCAAGGAGGACTCTGAAAAGTTTGATATAATCAGCTGGTAGCATGTGGGTGCCATTAACTGAAACAGGAAAGTCTGTGTATAGCTTTAGGGGTGAAATCAAGAGTTTGACTAGACATGACAAGTTGAGATGTCTTTTAGACATAGAAATGACTGTGGATAGGCAGATACATAAGCTTGGAGTTCAGGGATAGTTCTTGCATAATTGTGACTTTGGAAGTCATCAGCATATAGATGGAGTGTCAAGCCATGACATTGGGTGATATCTCCATGGGAAGTGAGTGAGGATGAGAAAAGAAGGGGCCCAAGGCCTGAGTTGGGCCTTGGGCACCTCAACTTTAAGAGGCCTGGGAGAAGAGGGAGAAACACAAGTGACTGAAAAATGGTGACCAGAGGCAGAAGAGTCCAGAGAGACATGGAAAGAAAGTGTTCCCAGGAGGAGGGAGCTGTTAACAGTGTCAGATGCCATCCTAGGTTAAGGGAGCCACAAACCGAACGTCCATCATTTGCTTTACCCGTGTGGAGGTCACTGGTGGCCTTGATGAGAGTTGCTCTGATAGGTGGGATTGGGGGATAGCAGAGCAGCAGCCGGCGTGGAGCAAGATGAAGAAAGAATGGACAAAGAGGAATGAAAAGGAGACAATGTGTATAGAAAGTGTTTGGAGTTTTTATGTAAGGGCATCAGAAAAATGAGTGATAGCTAGAGCAGCAAGTGGGGTTCCAAAAGGAATTTTTAAGATTGGAGAAATGCCATCAGGTTTGCAAGCTGCCAGCAGTGAAGAAAAAGTGATGCTGTGGGAGAGGACTGCAATACTGGAGTGCTGCCTGCAGGGAGGTAAGCACAGAGCAACAGTGCACAGCAGCCAGGTGTTCCTGGCAGGAGTGCAGGCAGGCCCGCTGGAGAGATGGTGCGCGAGCTGAGCCAAGGCTCTGGCCAGCCGACAGGCTGTGGTGGGTGTCCATGGTGCGAAGCTTTCTTCTGCTTGCTGTACTTCTTCAATTTAAGGAGTCCTGGTTATTTTACTGTGTTTCCTGCCTTGTGGTGATCATGATGGGGAATTAGCACACAAAGCCTAGAGGGATTTTGGAGTAAAAATCTGGTGTTGATGGGAGAAACACATACAGAAGCATGGCCAGAACTTGACTGGGAGCATTGCCCAGCCCTGCTGGAGTGTGGTCAGCTCCATGTCCAGATATGATGTACTGAAAGCTGAAGTCTTACATGTTTCTTAGGAGGCTCTGATGGGCTATCAGAAGGTGCTTAATAAGGCACCATCATCTAGAAGAGAAAGAATGCCAGGGAGACTAATGTCCCTTTCCCTTTCTCCTCTAGAACCCTGGAGAAGATTGTGACGCTCAAAGGGCTCATCACTCAGTTGAGCCTGGCAGTCTTTGATGACCTGACCCACCACAAAGCATCATCGGAGCTCCTGAGGCTCACACTGGACGGAGTCTTTCTCCACGTGGCCCCTGCAGCGGGCCACCTCCCCGGGGACGAGCCTGCTGCCGCGCTCTGTGAGCTCTACTGCGTGGAGGTCTACTGTGGGGACCTGCAGTTGGACAACCAGCTGTATAACAAGTCCAACTTCCACTTTGCTGTCTTGGTCTGCCAGGAAGAGAAAACAGAACCTACTCTGTGCTCCCAAATGCAGAGTCTCTTTGTGTCCGGCAAAGATTTGGAAGAGTACAAGAAAAATTGTTTTATCAAACTTTGTCTCACCTTAACTGAGGGCGAGAGCTGCATGTTTGATATTAATGAGCTCAGTTTTGAATTGAAACCTGCCCGGTTATATGTGGAAGATACATTTGTATATTATGTCAAAACTTTGTTTGAGACCTACCTTCCTAGCAGTGACCCGGCGGGTCGCCCCACGAGACTCCGGGGCGGCGCACAGGTGCTGCCCATGCAGGTTCGACAGCATGCCAGGGCCTTGGTGAATCCTGTGAAGTTGCGAAAACTGGTGATACAGCCAGTGAGTCTCCTCGTCAGCATCCATGCTTCCCTCAAGCTGTACATAGCCTCTGACCACACCCCGCTCTCCTTCTCGGTGTTTGAACGAGGCCCCATCTTCACTACAGCCAGGCAGCTCGTCCACGCCCTGGCAATGCACTATGCCGCTGGGGCGCTTTTCAGAGCAGGTGAGGACACAGGCTGAGGGCGAGCGATGAGCTAGAGCCTGGGCACAAAGGAAGCGCTCTGGGCTAGTGCGTTACTGACTTGAGTTCACAGGAAAGTAGTGGGGGAGGCAAAGAAGTGGGTCTTGCCACTAGCACAGGATTCAAAGCTAGATTCTGCCACTGCTAGCTGTCAGGCTTTAGGCGAGTTAATGAACTGGCCCAAGACTGTGTCATCTGTAAAATGGGTTTTAAGAGTTTTGAGAGGATAGAATGAAAGTATATAAAGTACCCTGCATTTTGCTTGACACTTACCACTCAAGCAATCGTAGCTGTTACATTCACTGTTATGTAACAGAATCTTTAATTCCATTTAGCAAACACTTCTTTAGCCCCATGTGGGTACAAGGCTCTCTATGAACACACTAGTACAGCCAGGAAAACTAGCCCAGGCTCTCAGCCCCTGGGCCTAAAAGAAATCCACCTCTAGGTTGTTAGCTTTCTTCATTACAGTCAATGAATAGTTGCAGGTGAGAAATTCAGAGGATTTGTGTGCTCATAAGATGCATAAAGAGCCTTCTACCTACCTAGCACAGCCCTGCCTGTCTAGACAAATCTCAAAAAGAAGGCTGTTGGTATCTCAGCTTCTCCACAGACCTGAGATGGAGACTGTGGGGGGTGGTATGCTTTTGTGTATAAGATGTTGTATGGGGGGTGCTATGCACTGAAAGGTAAGTGCTGGGAGCAGAGTGGGCCCCAAGTACTCCATGGTAGTTGGCATCGGGGCTCATGTTCCTGACCTGAGTTCACTGTAAAGCAGTTCAGTTTCATTATCAGCTGCCCTACCTTCCCACAAATTCAAGCCACAGACACCAGCCAGGGTTGGTCTTGTGGGCCCTTGCTGGTAAGAAACATGGAAGTCTTACTTTCTGAGAGTAACTGAGGAGACTTGTAACATGGCACTTGGTGAATGCATATATAAGATTCACACTGTAGCAGTAAATGATCCATGCTGTTGTCATCCTGGTAAGATTACATTTTCTCCATAGTGAAATTCATAGAGTGGGTGGGGCTACCCAGAACTCTTAACTGAAAATGACCTGATGGGAGTCTGGGGGTAAGGAACCCTGCAGAAAGTGTTATTTTAAGAGTTTGCACAATAGTGAAGAAACTGTTAGGTCTTGTTAAGAAGTCATTTAAAACTAAGCAGTTAACATTTCAAATTTAATAGACAGGTATATTTATAAACAATTTCAGAAACTTAACTCTTTTGAGCAGCTTTTCCTTTTAACACGAGAAACAGGCATGCACGTAGCTTTTGAGCTCTGCTCTGGGGCCTGGGAAGGAATAAGCCTCTGTCTGGTCCAGTCAGCACACAGTGCTGAGGTGTGGGGAGCAGCCATATGTGTAATGAGCTGGCGAAGAAAGTCCAGCTGTAGCACCAAGCGACCGTGTCCTTGTAGCCTGTGTGCTAAAAATGCTCTCTCTGTTTCATGTTTTTAATGAGCTTTCACAAGGACATTCTGTTTGGATTTTTTGTAATCCACCTAAAAATCCTCTAAGCTGTTGTCAGCCTCACTGTACACCAAGGCAAGAAATTCTAATATAGAGGGCCAAGTTTTTAGGGCCTGTTGGGAATTCTGTCACTAAAAACAAAAGCCTACAGACAATCTGAAGATTATCTGAGGAGAGCAGTGATGGAAAGACCTGGAAATGGGGAGATAGTAGGTCACCAGCCCGCAGGAAGAAGAGTCTAAAGAGAATGTACTGGCATCCGGGTAGGGCTGGGAGAGGGCCGGCCTGGGAGTGGACGACATGCCTCTGCACCCCATGTGGGCCAGGGTTCCCCACCTGGGCCTGATCAGGACATTCCTGTGGGATGGTCAAAATACCTGAACCTCATCTCTGGGGAAGATTGTGGAGTCACCTTGGCGAGGTGTTAAAAGTGAAGAATAGTAAAGTAATTAGGAATGAGTAACTAACCCTATGTGGCCTTTATAATTCCCTGGGGTCCCTCTCAAACCCAAGTCTCAGTTTGATGAGAAGGGAGACAGACAGCCCTTTTCCAACAAAATTTCCAGATAAGTAAGCAAAAGATACATTTGTTTTTGGAGGAAAATAACTAAAGAACAGTGCCCTTGGATGCTTGCTGCCTTTTACTGAACAGCTGAGATGCCACTGAGTAGCAGCTCTGGCCCACACATAGCCCTCCAGTCCGGCAGTGGCCCTAATCCGGGAGATTCCACAGAGAGTCCACTCACGCCACCCATTGTGCTGCCTGCACTGCCCCATTGTAGAGTAGCCTTTGCTTGGCAATAGGTACTGTCCTTCCATTATTTCTATGTGGCATCTTTGGAGAGAAGGGGAGTTAAGATGTTTCTAGACCAACCTTTTGTTTCCAGGTTGAACCTTACAACTATTTCAGACTAAAGAAAATCTGCTGTTTCTTTACCTCCCAGAGAGGGCCCTCCAAGAAGGAATAGTACACAGCCTTCCACAATACCCTGCCTACTCACAGACAGAGTGGGCAGGCTTCAGAATCAGGTGCACCTAGGTTGGAAACCTAGGCCATGTGTCCAACCAGCAGAGAGATTGTGAACAATCCCACATCTCCTTTTCCTACCTCCGTGTGAGACAGGACCCCCAGGCTGGATCTGCCGCATCCCCCTAGTGCCATCCTGACCCTGAGCAGAGGCTCAGCCATGAACTCATCTGAATTTACATAAAGGGAAGTAGTAGTACTTCTCGTGCACAGTTGCTGTGAGGAATAAATGAGTTGAATGCCTGGTACCCATAGGCCCTCCCATTTATAATCTTCATCTTCTGGAAATAATTTTCCTCTTTAACCTAGTGTTATTCTCTTAATGTTCCAATGAAGAGAGGTGGACTCAAATTTAAGAATGTCCCCCTGCACAAGGGCTGGATACCTTTTGGGCCTTGGCTTGGCTCTCGCACCCCTACCATCCTGACCCCCCCAGGACTAGTGACTTGGCTGGATTTCTCTGCTACAAACTTGTCCCCAAGAATCTGCTGGCAAGGCCAGATTGGCTCCCACACTGGCCTGTCCCTGCCGTCTCCCCATTCAAGCACTTTCAGCCCTAGGCTGAGAAAGTTGCCTGTCCAGAATCCTGCTCTCCTAAGCCCTTAGCCCTTGCCGGCACTTCTAGCCCAGTGGGGGGTGGGGGGGTGGCGCTGTTAGCGCCCACCCCAGGAAGGAAGGCAAAAGGACGCCACCCCACAGCCATGTTCCCACAGTGCAGTCGGGTCACTGAACAGCTCTGGCCAGCCCCAGCTCAAATAGGAAAGCAGATCCAAAGCTCCCCTCCTGGGACATTTTCAGGGAACGCTCCCCTCTCACTAACCTAATCTGTGTGTCCATGTCACTGAGGTTTGCACGAGTGAAGCTGGGACTGAAGGGAGGAGAGAGACATTTGTCTGGCTCCAACTCTGCTCCAAAGGGAAGCACTCAGCTTGGTAGGATTGGGAAAGATTAAAAGTAACTCCTCCATCCTTGTCAGAACTTTGCATCCCCTTTGCAACACCCCCTTTAGCATCTGGCCTCATGCCCCAACCAGACATCTCCTCCTCATCCTGGTGCCTCCACTGCCCCAAGAAAGTAAAGATAACTTCCCAGCCTGCAAACACCTGCAGCTTGAGGGACTGCCTTTCCTTGGGTGGGTAGGAGCATGTGCCCTGCTGCACACAGGTCCCTTTTAGCAAGAATGCACAAGGCTCAGGCAGGAAAATCGTATTAAAGCTATTTGTGAGGCTGCCAAAAGGATCACTTTGATTTATAAAGTATGAAAGTTTGCCATTTATGAATTCACAGGGAATGAGTTATTTCCCATATTTTGCTCAGAGGAGCTTATTGCATTCTCAATTCTAGTGTGAAAAACGAGTTGCAGGGAAAATGGGTCACTTTTCCCATATGCTGAAAGTGCTATATTTAAGGTTATGGTAACCCACTCCCTTTGGTCTCCTGCAGGCTGGGTGGTTGGATCTCTGGAAATCCTCGGCAGCCCAGCCAGTTTGGTGAGAAGCATTGGGAATGGGATCGCCGACTTTTTTAGGCTTCCGTATGAGGGGCTGACCCGAGGCCCAGGAGCCTTTGTGAGTGGAGTTTCCAGAGGGACGACATCATTTGTAAAGCACATTTCCAAAGGTAGCTATTTTGGTTCTTGTAATAATGCCTTATTTTCATTCCTTCCCTTATTTTTTATTTCTAAAAAACATGTTAAAGTTGTCAGTGCATTAAGTTTGCCTCTAGCTTTGTGTGACTTTTTAGCTCGCAGTGAAATGTTGGATTTGTAACAAAGCTCATATATAATGTCTTATGTTTTAAACAGATCACTACTTGCCTGTAGTGTGTGAAAATGTTTCAGAAACTTCAGAATTTCAAACCTCCCGTTGGGAGAACAAGGATTGGCTCAACTGTTATTCCATGTGATAAATGCAGAAATATTAAAGGTGTTCAGGACTTCTGCTAACCATCAGAAATCCTACACCCTGTTGCTTCATCACAATATTTTAAATGTAGATACAGTTGTCATGACTTTTGTAAGGATATGGATACATTTTGACGTGGAAACTGATTTGGAGGCGAAAGAGCCAACTTTTCTCTAGCTCGCCACGCAAACAGCGCCATCTTGTGGTCCCAACGATCACCAGGCACTGAAAGCAGCTGCTGCCCATGAGAATTCATGTTACCCGTGTATTTGCTTCGTATTTCGGTCAGGTTGGCAGTGACCTGGGAAGGAACTAACAAGGTCCATCTGAGTCCTCTTCTCTTCTCAAGGGGCAGGGAAAACAGGCAAAGGGCTTTTAATGTCAATAAGTGCTGCAACTCTGTTAGGAGTGGCCAGGTTATAAGTCTCTAGAAGGCTCGAAAGAAGACTTGAGCTCTTGAGCTAGAAGGACCCATGGTCCAGAGAGGGGGGCTGGCAAGGGAACAGCAAAGGCAATAAGCCAAATCCAATGGGCAGTGGCAGGACCACTCCCGCAGCTCCCAGTCACCAAGGAGGCCTCCAAGCTGAGCTCAAGGAACTTGCAGATGTGTCACTGAGGAATTTCTCACTCTTAACACTGAGTCTTTGTGGTTCTGTTGTTTTTATTTTAAAATAAGACAACCAACACCTGCTAAATTGAGCCCAGTGGTAATTTTAGCATACTGACTCACTGTTTTTTTACTCTTATTCTCCCCTACCCATACCCAAGCAAAATCTGTTTGGTCTGATGGTATACGTGTGTGCATGTGTGCATGCACATGGACTTTCTTAGGAAAACCAGACGGAATCATGGTTTTCGTGTGATTTATTTCCTTTATTGTCCTCACTTTTTTCAGTTAATATCCTGAAAATCAAAATTGCCCATATTCTCTGCAGCACAATGGTTAGTTCCTCAGAATGTCAAATGATAAAGCTTAGTGTCTTCCTTTACTGTGACTGAAGTAATAAGAAGGGAATAAATTTTATTCCTAAAGTGGGAACATTTCTTTAGCATCAGTCGAAAATTCATCAACATAACCTTAATGTTTAAAATCAGAGCCGGCAAATTTAAACCTTAAATATTGGGCCTCATTGAGGACATCAAAACTAACCAGGCCCTGACAGTCCCATGATAGTGAATGATAGTTCCATAGGAAACTCTCAGCATTTTTTGGTAACAGAAATTCTTGTCCTAGCCCTTTTGAGAAGTGCCATCACCCTCATAAGCAAGTGTCAATCTTCACCTATTTCCTTAAGGCTGTTGCTCCCACTGCCCATGAGGAAGCCCCCGTCACTCACCACTTGGGCATGTCCGCAAGGCACAGGTATGCCTCCAGCACCCCTCCTCCCTCTCCTGCAGCCCTCCAGGGACCACCATGTGACCAACCCATGTGCTCTGCACCCACAGGCACCCTCACCTCCATCACCAACCTGGCCACCAGCCTCGCCCGGAACATGGACCGGCTCTCGCTGGACGAGGAGCACTGCACCCGGCAGGAGGAGTGGCGGCGGCAGCTCCCAGAGAGCCTGGGCGAAGGGCTGCGGCAGGGCCTGTCCCGCCTGGGCATCAGCCTCCTGGGTAAGGTGCTGCCGGGACTGCAGGGACTGCATGCTCCAACCCTGCAGGCAGGCCGAGGGGCACGGGCTCCAGGGACTGGGGGTGCTGTGAAGTGTAATTCTTTCCTTAGATGAAATTGAGGCTCAGAAGGATAAGGTGCCCACTCTGGTTCCCACTGTGAATCCCTGAGGTGCTGGAACAGGACCCCCTTTCTAGAGCCATCGTGCAGCTATGACAGGCCATCCCAGGACCTGTCCTGTCAGAGATTTACCTGCTCAAATAGTTGTGCTCTGCCTCCCATTGCTTCTGGTATAAAATGGGCCTCTGGCCTTAGTGTGGTGCCCCAAAAATATCATTCCATAGCAGGCCGCCTGGGCGTTGGGACATCAACACACTGACAGTGGTGCGCAGCCTCCTGGAGCACCCCCTCACTACCACAGATAATGCAGGTGCTTGCTTTTGTTTGAGTAGCACTTAAGCAACGTGCAAATGTCATGTAAACTTCAGTGAGGAGCTTGCGTTTTCCTTTTATTTTTTTAAGAGTGCCAGATCAGCCTGACTCAGAGTAATTACCGTTTGTCAGACAGCCAGATGGTATAGCTAGAGGTGAAGATTGCTACGGATATTTCCAAATGTTTGAAAAATAAGTGGCTTTGGAAAAATCTATAAAAAGGAAGCTTTAGAGCTGAAATTTTGCAGAGCAGGATTTTCAAGGGTATCTTTTGTTTATTTGTTTGCAAAGGAATTTAAAACTGTATTGCTTGGCGGGATGCCTGCCGAGCATCTGAAGGAGTGTTCGTCTTCCAGAGATCAAAGTACCCCAAAGCAGGGAAAGCTAAGGTCAGAAAAGATGAGCTTGAAAGGATCTGTCCTCTCTTCAGTGTGTAGTTCTATACACAAAGCCCTCAACTCAGCACAGCCAGCTGAGCCCCTGAGAGGAAGTAGTCAGATGTTACAAGTTCAGGTTAAGTTCTAGGAGTTGTTATAACATTCAGTGGTGTGGGGCACCATCATTGGATAATGCGTGGAAACCGGCAGACTAATGACCTGGCATGGAACTGCTGGGTAAAGGAGCGACCCCAAAGCAGTGGAGGCTGCTCTGGGGAAGGCATGTGGTGTGAGGGTGGGCCTCGTTCCTCAGGAGCCAGCAGACTTCAGGCTGTGGTGTCCAGGTCCTTTGTATGTAACTGAAGGCAAGTGCTTATTTTCTCTGAATCTGGGTTTCTCTTTAGTAAATTGGGGCAAGTCATACCATTATTAGAAATTATGATGGTCTGTCATGTGCCAGGCAGAGGGTCCCTGTTTGGTAAACAGCATCGCTCATTATTATGTGGTGGTAGCAAAGGAACTGTGAGAATTGCATGATTTCGAAGACTGTCCCAGCCAAGAGAGACATGTGAGCAATGGCAGGAACTTTTTCACTTTAGTTTTAGTTCAGGGGGTTAAGTTGTTGTACCCATAGGAAATGACAATGAAATTACCTTGGGGGCCTTGAGTCATTGTTTGGGGACTGTGGAACCTCTTTTTGCTGAGAATTGTGGGCTTTCTTTTCCCCTTCACTGGACAAAGAGCTTCTTTCCCTCCATCCAAGCTCTTCTTGGAGCTTACAGGTGCTCAGCAGAGGAGACATGAGCTGGCTGGCATGTGGCTGTTCTATCCAGACTCTTCCCACCCAGAGAAGCCCACACCCACTACCCAGCTTCTACTCTATAAAATTGTACCTGATGGTAAAAATTAGTTACATGAGGAGCCATGATTCACCTTTGTGATGTCACCTTTGGGCATGGCTCCTGGTGCTCACCAGGGTGAAGTCTGAAAGCTTTGATCTTTGCTGTAGTCATGGTGTGTTACACATCCTCAGCTGTGTGAGGGAGTCGAGCCTGTCTGTGGGAACTGCAGTGTGCTCACAGAGTCTCTGCACTTCTGGTAATTTCCAAAAACCTAGGAGTTCCAGAGGTAATGCAAATCCCTCCTCGGTATATACCAATCACACGAGCAAGTGCTGGCCTGAGCCTGGGGCCCTGAAAGCGGCACTTCCAGCAGTGCACCGTGAGCTGGGCGGCCATTTCTGTGCTCCACAGACTTTAGTGCACAGTGGGTATCTCAAGGTTGACCCAAACCAGCTTCCTTTTCTCTAAGAGTTCAAGAACTCTCTGTATCCCACATAATAACTGGGTCATCTCAAAATATCTGGTCCTAGGATGCCTGATAGGTAGCAGGAGGAAGGGTGGTGAGGAGGGCCAAGCCCCATCACATGGGAAAGTATAGATTTTTCACCAATTAATCCATCCCCAGAAATGGTGTTTAAAACTGCTAAATGCAATTAAGTGCCTAACTGAAGTTGGAGCTATTATAATAGTTTGAAATGCATGCTTAGTGAAATAAGAATATTAGTCTTCTGCTGCTACTTTTACAAGACAGAAACATTAGCGATCAGGTTAGTAAAGATGTATTTCAAGAGCACGTCAGAGCTGACAAAGTGCTTTCACTTGTGTCATCCTGCTTGGTCTTCAAACCTAGGCATGAATGAGGTGCGCCACTTGCCCAGGTCAGACCTCCAGCCTGGATGAGCACCTGGGCCTTTCCACGTGTCATGCACCCTGGAAGGCACCAAACCTGCAAACGGTCAGGATGTGGGGAGACTGAACAATCAGAAGTTTCAGCATAGGGAAAAAACACATTTCCCCAAAATGTTTATGGGTTTACTGGGCCTTCTTGACTCTGCTTCATCCTCATGGGCACACTTGGGTGTGTTCAGAGGCACTTGAAAAATCAGAGGAAGTCTTTAGCTGCCATGCCCAGCCGCATCGCCCCAGGTCCGTGAGGAAAAGTGTCAGCCGGCCAGGCCCGAGACGAGGCTGAGAGAGGCCGACAAGGCTCCTGGATGAGCTGCACGGCAGTTTTCGGAAAGCAAAGGCTTTTAGAGAAACTGTTTAGCCTGCAGACTTGGCACCAGGCTTGCCCGCACTTAGCAGATCTGTTCCCCAAGCCCCCACCCGCCTTTGCACCCCTCCCTGGAGTCTGCGCTGAGGGCGGATATGAGCTGTTGCAACCCCCCTCACGCTCGCTCCCAGATGGAGGAACTACTCTCGTGCGTACACACCCAAGGCAGGCTGTCCGAGCTTGCGTCCCCTGGGCGGCCGCCTGACTTAGGATGCGTTCCTCAGTTTCCCAGCAGCCACGCCTTCGTCCTCTCGCCCGCACGGGCCGCCGCTTGGGGTCCAGCGGAGCGACCCCCGCCGGGGGACTCAGGGCGGGCCCCCACCAGCGCGTGCGGAGGCGGCCCACGCGAGGAGCCCCCTGCCCCGTTGCCCTATCCGCCAGGAGCAGATGGGTCTGCAGTTAGGGGGGAACTCAGGAACCCAAGTGCTTTCTGCTTGGTTGGCTGATCTGTCGCCCCCCACCAAAAAAGCCAGCTTCAAGCTGGACTCCCAAATGCGTTCCGCGGGTCTTTCTTGTCTCCGGAATGGTGAGCTGGAAGTGGTGTCCCAGCTTCGGCCTGTACATGTGTTACTGTGATTTTTTTTATTAGTGCCCAAAATAAAATTACGACGTGGTAAGGGCTGCCCCAAAATAGTCATCTAGACAGGAAATTTCCTAGATCAGTGACCCTGTGTGTTTTGCAAAAGGCCAGAGAACAAGTCATAGAAGAGGGAGGGAGGGCCCTTCTGGTTCCCTTGCTCTGAAGAAAGCCCTCCTCCAACCAAAGAGTAGGAAAGGACACACCTCCCCAGTCTTCGGCTCTGCCCGGCGCCCGTTAGCAGCCCTGGAAACTCCTGTCCAGGGCCCGCTCTTCCATCCTTGCCTCACTTCATCACATCACAGCCGTTTCCATGTGCCGCCCACCCGGTGGGCCTGACGCCAGCACGCAGGGTTGGGGATCGATTTCCACTACTTACGGCCTTAGAGCAGTTTGAGTATATGACAGTAAATAATTTACCAGCTGTGGGATTTAGCCGGATTATACTTAATAAGAGAGACTTCTAAAGTCCTAAGAGAAGTGCCTCTCCCGCGGCACAGCTGCAGACCCGGTGAAATGGCTGCTGTTCTCTCACGGCCGGTTCTCCAACTCGCACCTGGTGACCAGTGAGGGGCCGGTGTGCGTGACGGGCCGGCTTTCCCGCTGCAGGGCCTGGCGCCGGGTGAGGGTATGTGGTCTGACAGCTCCTTCTCTACTTGGCAGACTCTAACACCTTGTCATGGCTTCAGGCTTTCCACGTTTTGGGCTGCCCAAATAGTTTATGTATCAAAGCCGCAGGAACTGAGCTTGCCCTGTGGCCGTGGCTGGAGAAGGAGAAGATCAAAGGGAAGTTTCACTGTGATACCTGTGGGCACTTAGGCAGATAGAAGTTAGAGTCCTGTGTGGATAGGCCCGGTTTTCAAGGCTCCGTGTGCCCTGGGCAGGCTAGGCCTAGGCCTGGCATAATAAAAGGGAGCAGGACTCTCAGTGATGTGACCACCTGCCCCACTCAGTTTTAATAATTTTCATGGAAATCTGCACTTGAGAAAAGACATTTCTACCAGAAATACAGGAGATGATTTTATTTATTGGTGATTTTAATACCCCAGTTTTTCTACTCTTAAATATGAAGACTTTTCAACGAAGTTAGATGATCAAATCACACAAATTGTATTCTTTGATTTGATGCTGTTCACTTCAAACTGTCTGCTCTGAAATGATTTGAAGAGAAAACCCCAAGGCCTTGCCTCTCCCATGCACTGATGGCGGCCACCACCCCCAGCCTGTCCAGTTCTGTTAACACCTCCCAGTTGCTCTGACTCCCGACCTCAGAGATGGGGAGCAAAGCATCAGATTTCTCAGACTGAAACCCAAGTGTCAAGGGGGTGCAGGGGTGCTGTGCGGCATGTGGTCACTGAAACAGCGATTCCTCTTCTCTCAATAGCCAGGGCGCTGGGCCCACTGTGAGCAGCATCCTCTGCTTCCTGAATCATTTCTTTAGAAGATTTGGGAAGTGCTGGTCTAGGCTGGGAAACAGACCTGTTGCCTCAGGCCATTCTTAATCTATCAATACAAAAATTTTAATTGCTGTCAAAATTTGGAGGAATGGAATCCTTTACAACTGACCTGAAGAAATTGGCCTTTTGTTTTACTGAATTTTGTTCAATGGAATATTGCTTGGAATTAGCAGGGCATTAACTGAGACCTGGAAATTTCCATTTACCCCAAAGACTTTGCATTAGTGACATATGGAATAATGCGGTTTGACATGTATGAAAATTTCTACTAGGGGACTGTGCATTTTCATTACTCGCAGGTTTGAGTTGAAAATAGTGAATTCTGTTAAGACTTGTGATGAAATTTTTACCTCTCACTGAGTTAGGGAACCTTCCATTCCATCACTAAGGAAACCGGGACTCATGAGGCCTTTACTAGGTCACATCATTAACCCCTGAAAGTAAGAGGAGCAAAGAGGAAGGACCAGTAGGAGGCTAAAGGGTTGCCCTCTGGCTTGGTGCTTGATAGTTAGGGCAGAGTGGTTTTGCAGAGAGCTTTCTAAAGTGAAGGGTACATGGCCAAACCTCAGTTGAAGTGAGAGAATAGAATGTTTTTCCAATATTGGCAAAGGAAGGAACCTATTTTATAAACAGGATCAGTGAATAGCTTGGTAGTTAAGAGCTAAGATGTGACTCCAGCTCCTTAGACTCAAATCCTGGCTCAAGCACGGGACAGCTGGGTGACCTTGGGAAAAACTTAACCTCCCTGTGCTTTAGTGGCCTTATCTAGGAAGTGAATATAAAAACCATGCCTGACTCCTAGGATTATGGGGATTAATGATCTCAGACAAATCAAACTTTTAGCACAGTCCCCAGCACATAGTCAGCACTCAGAACAGATTAGCGAGAATGGGAATAATTACTGTATCAACATTACTCTCATTATTAAATCATTACTGACACATTAATATTAAATTATTATTAAATAATTGCTTTTATTATTGTTGAAATGGAGAACATGGAAAAGGACCTGCCCCATCCAGTCTTTTCATCCTCCTGATTCAGAAAACTTGTTAGGCTGAGAAAGCTCGCTCACTTCCTAAAGAGCTTTTAGCTCTCCTCCCTTAACTGTGTTGCCCAGTTTCTGGAGAAAGGTGTTTGAGTGTCACTTTGGAATACTCTGACATGTTTATTAAATTCTGAACTGAACTTCGCAGATCCTGATGGTGATGGACCAAACCTCATCTAACAGTGTTTTGGAGATAATGTCTATCTTAAACAGCCCTCAGTGAACTTAGATTAAATAAATGTATAGTAAAGAACTTTATGATGAAGGTGGGGTTTCATTTTCAGTTCAAATAAAACTGTGTTTCTTGGCTGGTTTTCACTGTCTCCTGATGTTAAGCCTCAGCTCTTATTGGGGGCTTTTGTTGTTTTTCAGGTGCGATTGCTGGTATTGTTGATCAGCCAATGCAGAACTTCCAGAAAACATCTGAGGCTCATGCTTCAGCAGGACACAAGGCCAAGGGTGTCATCTCAGGCGTGGGGAAAGGAATCATGGGGGTGTTCACAAAGCCCATTGGAGGAGCTGCTGAGCTTGTGTCCCAAACTGGCTACGGTGAGTCTGGTGGAAAGCCTTCCAGGCAAACTCAGGCATCACCCATAATTTGCATTATAATACCAAGGATTTCCCAAGACAATCTAGCCCTTCCCATGGCAAAGGAATGACAAAAAAATGGGGATACATATGCAGATATATAGTATCTTTCTCACCACCTTAAGCTTATTTACACGGAGTAGAATTGTACTAATAGTAAATAATAATTATTATAGAACCAGGAATTAGTTTTGTTTTATGTATGTCATATATTTTTACAGAACATTATTAATAAAGTAGACTTTAATGAGAAGTAATGGTTCGGAGGTTGAGAGCAGTATGTATAATACATGGAAGCAGAGAAGAGAAGTACTACTTTTTCTGGTGAGCAATTTGAAAGGAAGAATAAGTTATAAGACAGGAAGGTGTCTTTAATTGACAATGTGGATGTACTTTGAGAAAGTGAGAGAGGAGCGTGCACTGCCCACAGAGCCGCCACTTGCATGGCTTTCTCACCTCTTATGCGCAGGCTGAGTCTCCTGCCAGTGGCAGTAGAGGTGCGAGATCTACACCCGGAAACCTTTTCCCCAAGCAGGCAGCTGGGGAGAACTTGGGATCTGGGATTACTCGTGCTTGGATGGTGGAATGCCAGGGCCGCTCCTCAAGACAGGGCTGCGTACATGGGAGTGAAGGGTGCGTGTGTGAGGAAACCGCCCCTCCCACGCCTGTTCTCTGCATTCTTGGCAGAGCACATTAACATGACTTAAAAAACAGGCGACAGAACTGTTACCTTTTTACCTTAGTGTCATTGTTTTGGTCATTTGGGCTGTTTAGCTGGTATCAATCACTACAGGTAGGCTCTCCCATTTGTCAGACCTGTGAGCACTACATGTCTGAATCTGGCCCTCAGGTCTGCGGAGTGCATTTCTCTGCAGGCATCCTGCACCTCAGTAGATCTGGCAAGAGGCAGCCAGATCAGGCATAAAATCTGTCTGAAAGAAGACAGTCAGAGACAAATGCCCGCACCCAGGCAACCATCCGGAGGGGTTCCTGTAAGAGACCACACAGGCACAAACACGTGTTTCTTCTTCATTACCCCTCACCTCCTCCCTCTCTATTTCTGTCTCTCCTTCTGTGAATGACATTTTCACTCCCAGGGAAACTGACAAAAAGAACTGCAGCAACTAAGTAGACAAAGTTAAATGCTTCCTTATCAAATGCTTGCTTACACATTAATAAAAACAGTACTACTACTTTTGCTATAGACTCCAGTGAGTAAAGTCAACTCCTAAGTTGATAAATTCCTTTGGTTTTGAAAATGCCGTTGTCCCTCACTGTGCATTTCCCAGGGCTGAGGAATTCTGTGTTATGTAAGAGCCTCTCAGAACAGAGCTTCACATGGCCTCGTTGGTTTCCATCACTCTTGTAAAACTTTTATTACCACACTGAGGGTTTTACAGACCACTAACTCTTAGTCTAATGACTGAGCCTCATTTATAAACATTTACAAGCCCCCAAAAGCACACAAGCTGTACCATCTTCAGTTCTGGCGAGTCTCTTTGGAGTCCCGCATGGCAGCTGCTGGGTGCCCTCATTTGGTGCTGGCACTGGGGAGAACGTGTAATAAACCAAGGCCCCCAGAGTGCTCATAAATGTATATGGATTCATGTTTAACAGCTGGATTAAGTCACTTAAATACTGTCTCTAGGCAGACCATGTGCCTTTGTGTGCATCTATGTGTTGTGTTTTCTATTATCTGAGCAGCCACAGCACAGATACAGAAGTATTGTATGATTCAGCTAGGAAGTCAACCAACAATTGACTTTTTTATCACATAAAAAATGATGTGTAAGCTGTTGCTCAGGACCAACTACTCCCAGGAGCATTATGCTTCCTCTAACTGCCTATCTATGCTTGGACTTTCAGCTCATTCACATTTCATTCAGTTCATAGTTAATATTAGATCACCAGGGTTAAGAGCACTGCAACATTTAATGGTTATCTGTACACTTGTTTCCAAAGATGTAACATCATTTTTAAGTCTGTGGCATTTTATGGATGGTTCTAAGCAGATGACATCACTGTAGCATAGAACTGTTTTCCAGAAAACAACTAGTAAAACTCCCTTACTTCTCTTACCACAGGTATTTTACATGGAGCTGGACTTTCTCAGCTTCCCAAACAGCGCTACCAGCCAAGTGATCTACATGCTGACCAGGCTCCAAATAGCCACGTCAAATATGTCTGGTAAAATTATCTAGACGCCTGTTCAACTGTGCATGTGCACTGTATGTTAACAGGGCCTGGCTTGCTCTCAAGCTGACAGGCCATGCTTCCTAAGGAGCCCAAGAGGAATAGCCTCTTTCACGTTTTCAGCATGTCCAGCAGCACAAGAGTATCCTCGAGCCAGGGAAAGGCTTCAGGGAAAGGCTGCAGAACTCCCCTGCCCACAATGTACCACTCAGGGAGGGTGCACACTGGCCGAGAAGCCCAGGCCTGCAAGAGGGTCTGAGATGCCCTGTGAACCAGCATAGTAACTCAGGGTGACATTTCTAAAGGGAAGAGAAGGAGCTAACCAGAGCCAAATGGAAAGCTTTGTCCCCAAGTGGATCTGGATTCTTTTGATCAGAATTAGTTTGAGAATTAAAGTGACAAAATAACATTTCAAGCTGAAATTTAGTAAGCAGATTGGTAAGGGCCCTTCGCTCTTGGGAAACATTGTGTGGGACTGCCCCTGCCCTTGGTACAAACAGCACTGCTATGTGACCATCTTTTCCAACCTCACTCCTAGCCTTTCTCTTTGGAAACAGGAAAATGCTGCAGTCTCTGGGCAGACCAGAGGTCCACATGGCCCTGGATGTGGTTCTGGTGAGGGGCTCAGGCCAGGAGCATGAAGGGTGCTTGCTGCTGACATCAGAAGTGCTCTTCGTGGTGAGTGTCAGCGAGGACACACAGCAGCAGGCCTTCCCCATCACGGAGATCGACTGTGCACAAGACAGCAAGCAGAGCAACCTGCTGATCATGCAGCTGAAGCAGCCAAGAGTGGCTTGTGATGTGGAGGTATGTTTCAGAAAACAGGGTGCCTGCTAGCTGCCAGCCAAGTTGAGACACTGGTGTCAGACACTGGTGAGCCCTCAGCCTCTGCAGGGGCTGCTGGAGACCAGGAAGACTGCAAGAGGGAGGAGCGAGCGAGGCAAGTGGGCCACTGCAGAGGGGGTTGGGAGGCCCCACCCCAGGTGTGCAGGTGAGCTTTCACGGGAGAGCCCAGCCATAGGCCAGTGGACTCATGGCCTGGTGTTAAGCTACAGTGTGGACTAAACAAGGCTTGGTTGTCATGGGGCTGTGGTGAGGGAGTGGCCAGGACAGGACAGTGGAGCTCCTAAGTGAGCAGGTTTGTTCTAGGGCCAGGATGGAGGCAGCAATTCCATGCAACTACTACACAGAGCAGGCCCGTGTCTGCACGTGGCCTGGGAGTGGCTGCAGCAGTCCACGGGGACAGGCGAGGACTGCCATAGAAGTGAGACGTATCATAAGTGAAACAAGTGCAGGCAGTAAGCCAGACCTTTGCAAGTTCACAAACCAGGAGGTCTAACTCCCTCCCGCCCCCCATTCCCACAACACTGTACATTAACAGGGCCTGGCTTGCTCTCAAGAGAAGCCCAAGAGTAGTAGCTGTTTTCAGCATCTCAGGCAGCACAAGGGCATCAGCAGTCAAAATTGTGTGCATAGATATCCCTCCTCTCCACTGCTCTGCATTCAGTGTGGCTCTGGGTTCCCTTTCCAGTAAGACAGATTCCCATCCCCTCAGTACTGGGGATACCTCCTGGGGATGCTGGCTGCTGGCTCCTGGCCACACGTGTTGATGTGGAGGTTCAGGCCGGACATACTGGGTGTCAGGGACCAGAGGTGAGCCCTGACAAAAGTGGCACTAGCTTCCTGCAGTCCAGCCCAGGCTAAGCAGGTGCACCCACTGGAACACTGCTCTCAGCACCTGCCTCCCTGCTGACTGCCTGATCCACAGAGCCCAGCTGACCTCACAAACAGACATCTTTTCCCTTTCGACAAGATGAGTGTGGATCAGGCAAACTAGAGCCTGATGGCCCTAACCTGGGGACTGAGTGGCCCCAGGAAAGGACAGCAAACCAGCCTCCAGCAGGTCCTGCCTGATTCCTTCATCGTTTCCTTCCTGGTATGGGAGCCTGTGTCTCCCTCACACCACTGTTTGGGTAACATTATCTGAGAAGATGGAAGGCAGCCAACCACAACAACTCCGAGATCTCTCTGGTTTCTTGGATCATAATCAGTCAGGCTGTAAGCTGGGCTTTGGCACTAGGACCACACTGCCGTTTCAAGTTGATGACTTTCTGGGAATAAACAGAGGTCAGATGTCCAGGCTGACTTTATTAGATCTGCCAAAATCTTCTGATCCATTTGACAATAAAGCAGTGGTGTTCTGGCTACAGAATTTGGCAGGGGATATTATCATTATCTTCAAGTCCTCAGTCCTTGACAAGAAACTTCCAAGGTCTTGAGGCCAATCTGTGTCCATCGATAGTCCTTAGCTGCTTGGGAGATATTTCACATCTTAAACTGAGACTGGAGATTTCATCTTTTGCTGTGAAAACTGTCTCTACAGTCTTCCAATTGTGATCCTCCTTTTTGGCTTTTCTGCTTAAGGTACTGTGGGGAATTCTTTCTGGTGAGGAACAGCCCTGTTTCTCTAAGTTCCTGAAATGTTATCTGGAGTCACCACCCGCAGAAGTTGCCCAGGCTGACTGGACCCTGGGATCAGAGAGGCAGAAGCACTGACTCCTGAAACCAAGCTTGATGCTGGTTTTCCATTGCTGTTCAAGGACAGCAGAGGGTTGGGGTTAAGGGATGGCTAAAACAGGCAGGACAGCTGACTGCGAGCAGAAATTCTGCAGGGCAGCTATAGAGCACACAGCAGCACCTGGCACTGGACAGGAAGGGTAGCTTGCCAGTACACCTTCAGCCTCCAAATTCAGCTACTCTATTCCACTTTACCTCTCTCCTTATCTCCTCATGAGAAAATAAGAACAAACTGCCCCCTTCATCCTGTGTCCAAACCCTAACTTCCCCTGCTCACCCCATGGAACACCTAAGCTGTAGAACAAAATGCTCGTCTCTTTTGTCTGAGAGGCAGCACGCACTTCCAGGGAAGTGCTGTAACCTAGCGTTTCCAAAATGAGCAAGGGCAGCTCCCCAACAGCACTGCCCAACAGTGCGTTCTCCTCAGTTGCTGTACTCGCGCCAGGGCACCCCCAGCCTGATCCACAGGTGTAAAGCTGGGTTAAGAAGCCTATCCACTGTGTTCCAGGGAAAACTAAACAGAATTTTAAGATCTTTACATAAAATGGCTTTTTGTATTTTTTTTTTTTTTTTTTTTTTTTTGCTTTAGAAGCAAGGAAGCATAGCTCCTTTGAATTTTGGAAGGAATTAATTTATAGATGACATCATTCAGTATAATGTGTCAGGATTCAGATTTTTTAAAATCAGCATTTGCTTTTCTTGGTTAAATGCAGCCATTTTTAGAGTAATAATTGCTTAATATGCCTGGCACATTACTGAAGTCCCTTATGAGAAACTCAGAATGAGTCAGAAGGTCAATTTATTCCTTGGCCAGGTTCCTTTCACAGCACGGGTTTTCCTGTGCTGCTGTTCAGGAGGAGCAATTAAGACTTTGTGTATTCAGAGCTTTCCAGCTGAATTCTGACCCCATCAAATGATATCATCAGAGCTCTGGCTTTTGCATGGTGGTGCACAGCTTTCATCTGTCAGTGAATCTTTAGGGGCATTTATTTTCTTTCCTAAGCTTTAAAATCTGAGGCCCAACCTCTAACGCATGCCCTCCTTATTTCTCTGGAAGGTCCCTTTATTCTATTTACCACCCCACTGGCTTTCCACAGCTTTTAAGACACTCATGGCTGTTTCTGTGCCCTACACAGAAATGTATAGAAATTCTTTACATTATTGCTTTGAGAACTAAAAGGTCATTGTTAAATGTAATTTTCCCAGCATGGTCTTGCCAACATTTGGTAGGTAAAAACACTGAAAAGTCAATGCCTTCCTGAGGCCCACGGATCAGTAGCTTACATTGGAAACTTCCTACTCCACTTGATCTACACACTAGATGATAACCACAGAATTTCAGGATGGGAAGAATTTATAACTCCCAACTGCCTTTGATGGGTGCTTTCTCAGAAAATCTCACTACAAATTTAGGTAGTATATCTTAGTTCTCCTATTTGAGTTCCACTGAAGATGAGCCAGACTTTTATGAACCATAAATGTACTTTACATCCTCCCTTTTATTTCCATAAAAATTTCCCCTTCCTTTGCCCAGCTTTTTATTTTCTCTGGCTTTAAATGCTAGCATTTATAAAAACAGAAAATGTTACAGTTCAAAAGGTATTTTTTTAAATGCTCTGTCCAAAGACACTAGTTTGAAATAGGTGCTCTTCTCCACTTTTCTGTGAGACTGAAGAGGTTCAAGGAGATAGATAGGCAAATGGAGCTTTTATTTCAGGATGCTAAGTTGATATTAGTTTAAGCAGAGGAAACATACTTTTCTCCTTTGTTTCTGGGCTTGTTAGTAAAGAGCAGTGACAAGATGTTTTAATAGTTAATGAGTAAAATGTTATGAAATCTACTTCAACGTGGCAATTTTGTACATCACCAAATGCTTAGTCAAAGGAGGCTGTCCTGAGATTCCTGTGCAGAACGTCTGTTATGCTGCTGAAACTACAGTGTTATCGTTGTCACAGCTCAGAGGACAAATAAAAGGAAGCACTGTTTGGGGTAAAATAGCTTTATTAGATGACCTAAAAGACATGATGTACAAATGTGTCAAGGCACAAGAGAAGGACTGATTTTGTTGTTATGGAAGGGAGTCTCATTACCAGTTTGCAACTAAAGAGTCTTTATTTTTGGATCCCAGGTGGACGGAGTCCGCGAGAAACTGTCTGAGCAACAGTACAACAGACTCGTGGACTACATCACAAAGACGTCCTGTCACCTGGCTCCCAGCTGCTCTTACATGCAGACACCATGCCCTGTAGTGGCTATGGAACCTCTCCCCTCCACTGTGAAAACATACCATTATATGGTTGATCCACATTTTGCTCAAGTCTTTGTTAGTAAATTTACTATGGTGAAAAATAAAGCCCTGCGGAAAGGCTTCCCTTGAGTCCCAGCTAAGGAACTGCAGCTGTGCAATTTGTTTTTGAAAAAGAAACCAAACTAGCACTAACATCTGATACGGACACAAGGCCAACACTTTTCTATAGTTTTATAGGTATAGTAATTTTCTAGCATCTTCTAAAGTTAATTCAGATTCTTATCCCTAAAATTAAGAAGATACTTTACTTTAAAATGGAGTGATTAAAAAACACATTCCTTTCTCACCTGGGAACAACAATTAACAAAATCTAAGTGTTGTAGTCTTGTCACACAGAAAATGTATATTCTTTTTTGCTCTGTAATGGTATTTGCTAAAATTTTGACTATAGTTAGGATCTTTTATATAATTAGGATCTCTCTGCTATAATGGAAAATATGGTCAGGCTTTAGAATGGGAACTTCACCCCCAGTTGTATCTGTCTTTAGGATGAGACATGATCTTTGCCTTATACCCTCATCTGCAAAGGTTTGGATTCTTCAAATTAAATTAAATGCTTAGGATTTTGTTTAATTGAGTAAATCTGTGACTTAAATGCAATGCTGTCCTTTAATTGAAAGCTGCTATGTGTAGTTTTTAAATATAGTTTTAAAAAAAACAGTCTGCATTTTACTGAAATTTACAAAACATTTTGACAAACTGTCAGATACACTGTGGAAAAAATGTCTTTCCAGTTTGTTTTACTAGGCAAACTTAGATTAATCTTGTGTCTACTGATGAAAATAGACCCAAAGTGCTCAGGTGAGTTTCTTTGTTTCTATAAATAAAACATACTAAGCACTCCCTTTGACAGGCCCCTGCGGAAAGGGTCTGAGGATTCACATACCCTGGTGCACCATGTACCCTGGTGCACCACGTACGCTGGAGCCAAGAACACCGTCAACCTTAACAATGTACCAGTCCAAGTAGTTTATTTTGCTGAACTGACTTGATCAAGCATAAAAGTATTCCTCATGTCTGATACTATTTTTCATTTAAGGATGGGTTTGGCTCAAGATCCTGGGTCACCAAGTAGCTTCAATATTCAGTAAATATCTTACACACTGATTAAAACACATTTTTACTGATTACTTCGAAACCTGGGCCTATAATCTGTTACCAACAACTGTGAGATGGTAGGAAAACTCAGTTTCAAATGCCCACTGATCTTTAAGTTTCACATATTATTGGGCATAAGAAGTCACTGCATAGTTGTTTCTGGAAGAGACTTAATGGACAATTCAGGCTGAGTATAGAAAATGGTTCCTCCACTAGTCTGCTGTGTCATACTCATTCAGGAAAGTGACAGTTTGGTCAATTAACTTCAAGAATAACTATTTTTAAGAATATAAATATTCTTGTATCTTTTACGGTGATTTTGCATACTACTTCTAAGAATTGTTAAATAAAATTGTTTCAAATAAAAGGAATCCTTGAATTACCACACATAAGTGTATTACCACATATTTTTAAAGTGCAGGTTTTCACTGATAACTAGGTTTAAAACTGCTCATATTATTAAGACAAGAATTTTGCACATGAGTTAAAGTTTTTGTTATCCTAATAAAATGGAGAAAGGTCCTGTTAGCTTTTCGTTAAAGCAATATGGGGTAAAGAACTTTAAATTTCAACTGTCTATTCCCTCTGTCTGGTTGACCAACAGGGCTACCAAGCAGTAACAATGAAGCCCACAGACCTATTTTATTGAAAAAGAGTCTCTATCCCTTCTGAAACCCCACAGTATAGACACATGGTCTCAGGACCAAGAAACTGTGCCTAGCAGTATCATAACATACAACAAGGAAATTTTTAAGAAAGCTTGAATCAAGTTATCCTCACAAAGTTTAAAAACACATTTAAAACCCCTAACCAAATCTGATGCACATGCCTGGGAGTTGTCAGTAAAAATAATTGAGCAAAGACTTACTGTCCACAGTGTATATTAACTTTATTTATCAAGGGGAACTATTCTTTACCCCAATTATTCAGGTTGCATACTTCAGGAACACAGGTCAGTAAAAAACTTCCATGGAATGCGACCCAAAGAAATTCTGTGGAGAAAAAAATAGTGGATATGTTTATGACAAACACTCTTTCAATACCTCATCACCTCTGAGACCACCTGAGGCCTATTCCTACTGGTGGAGTCCACACTGTGTCACTCCCCTTCAGCCTGGGAGAAGCCCAGTTCAGGCTGCCTGGGCCCTTTCTCTGCCAAGGTCCTGATTACCCTCTTTTTCATCTGGGACACACACATCTTAATCTGGTTTCTTGCTCTCATTTAACCAAATTCTGCTTTTTCTTCCCCTCTCTCAATCCACTGCTCTCTCTTCCCTTCTCATACTGCATACTGTTCTAAACAATGCTTCTACAACTGTCTCCAAATGTTTTTCTTACTGATTTTTAAACACAACTTCTTTTAAATAAGAAAGTAAAAATCAAACAAATATTTAAAAACTAGCCTGTTAACATCTGATTATGAAATGCATATCCACTGTGGAAAACTTGGAAATTTCAGTTACAAAAAATAGCCATGTAAGATTGCACACAGAACCATTATTTTCATTTTATCTGTGTGATTTTTATTTAACAGATAGATTGCCTTTTATATAAACCATTACTTTCTATTATATATTTCTTCATACTACTTTGTGTATATCATTTCTAATGGATGTAACAGTCCATGAAAAAGTTATTCCTTACCAATTTTCCAAACACTGAAAATAGTTATACTTTTCTATTTATAAATAATTCTGTGGCTACTTCATACATGCATCTACCTGAATTCTGGATATGTCCTTAAGATAAACAACTATAGAAACGGAATATTTCACAATTGAATTCTAAATTAGGCAAAAATTACTTAAATTCAAAATTATCCTTCAGTCTTTTAGAAAACTGATATAATTCCAATGCAGCAGGTCTCCCCTATCCCGTGCCCCAGATTTTGAGAAAGATCATATATATATATACACACACACACACACTCACACACAGAAAGATCATATATATATATACACAGTGGGAATACTCATTCACTGACAGTCTGACTGAAAAAAACAGATTCACATTCCTCTTGTCATATCAAGCTCATACAAGGGTAGTAGTAGATTCTTTAACTCTACTTAAATGATTCTCTCTTGCTTTTTTGTTCAGCTTGAATGAATACATGAATGTTAAAATTCCAGAGTATGAATAGTTTCATCAGGTACCTAACACATGCTTTCAAATCAATTTAGCAGGTGAGTTCTCATCAGCACACACAAGTCACTCCTTTTCTAGACAAAGAATCTTAATTCACATTGTCCATGAAACATAAGGACTTTGTGAATATGATGAACCAAACCAGAATCTGTCAAAAGCCACCAAGTCACTTATGGACACCTAGCTAGCTAACTGTCAAAACACAAGTCAAACATTTGTTTGTTTTCAAATCACCTCTAAAAGAGTGATCTTCCTAATGCCAAAACATGTGAAATGATTTTGAACACAGAAAGTAATTTAACACATCAGTGGGATGGTGGGCTACAAAGCTCTAGACCACCTCTCCCAAACAGAAAAAGCAGCAATACATGGACCAAAGTGTCTCCTTAAGAACTCTAGAAGCCAAGTGAGAGGCTGCAGCAACCAAACACCTGAACAAGAAAAAGCCACACTCAGAAGGAAATGAAAATTTTCCTCACCATTGCCCACCCCTTCCTCAGTGCAGGAGAGGATGGTCAAGACGACACTGAACAACAACTGGCTCCTCTCTCAGGCAGAAGGAAAAGCATGGAAATTTCTTGCAATGTTCTGGCTTATATGAGGGCTTCCAAAGGACTGTTTTCAATCTTGTGTATCTCAGAGCACTGACAGAAATGGTGACATAGTTTAGACATCAGATTGCACGCTGCTGAAAGCACTGGTGACTCTCATGACACAAGAGCTGCAGAAGGACTGCAGACTCACAGGCACCTACAGGCAAGACATTATGGACAGAGGCATGCAACAGAATAGCTAAAGCTCCTGGAGGAAGCAGGGCTGAGACTTTTAGGAAAACTGTAACACTTAAAAATGACTAAGTACACACAAAAACAAGAACTAAAGTACACACACAGGGTCAGAGAAGGTGAGTCCCCAGAGAAAGTTTGAGATGACCCTGAGCCTTTCTGCCAAGCTGTTTTATTAGTAAAGATCTTCTGTGTGGAGGTTATCTACAATAAATGGATACAAAGGTGACTGTTTATTAAAATGTCCAAATTTCAACAAAAGATCACAAGACATACAAATAGACGGAAACATGCAAAGGAAAACTCCAGAAATCAACAATAATGAAACACATGCCTCTGACTTTCAAAAAACTTTTAAGTGTCTGAAGCATGGTCCATGACTAAAAGGAGAACTCAGACAACTAAGTGAAATCAGGGAACAATTCATGGACAAAATGGGAATCTGTACAAAGAGAAATTATTTTTAAAAAATCAAAACTCTAAAGCACAAAAATATAATAAATGAATTGAAAAGTAGAAGGGTTCAACAGCAGACTCAGAAGAATCAGCAAATTTGGAAACAGTTCTTCTGAATTACTGAGTCAGTGAAGCAAGAAGAAAAAGCATGACAGTGCTTAAGAGACTTATGGGACATCATCTAGAAGACCAGTACGTACACTACAGAAGTTCTAGAAGAAGGAAGGAAGGGGCAAAGAGCTGACTTGAAGAAATAATAGCTGAAAACTCTGCAAATTTGAAGAAAGAAATGAATATATAAACAGAAGTTACTTGGAAATAGGATGCACATGATGAGAAACTCACACTAAGATATTATAATCAAGCTGTCAAAAACCAGACAACCCATCAAAGAAAATGGATCTTGAAAGCAGCAAAAGAAAACTGATTCATCACAATCTCTGTAAGTTTATCAGTAGAGTGGGGTGGAGCCAAGACGGCGGCGTGAGTAGAGCAGCGGAAATCTCCTCCCCAAACCACATATATTTATGAAAATATAACAAAGACAACTCTTCTTAAAAGAGAGACCAGAAGACACAGGACAACATCCAATCCACATCCACACCTGCGAGAACCCAGCGCCTCGCGAAAGGGGTAAGATACAAGCCACAGCCTGGCGGGACCTGAGCACCCCACACCCCAGCTCCCGGCGGGAGGAGAGGAGTTGGAGCGGGGAGGGAGAGGGAGCCCAGGGCTGCTAAACACCCAGACGTAGCCATCCGGTCCAGAGGGCAGACACAGTGCATGCGTGGGGTCCTGGATACTAGGGAAACAGGACAGTAAGACCTGTGACTGGTACCTGAGGCCAGCACCCTGGAGACAAAGAAAAGCAAGTGCTTTTTGAAGTCTTAAAGGGACAGGGACCCCAAAACCGGATGGAAGCGTCCTGGGACACTTAGTCCAGAAGCAGGGAATCTGGGGAACTGGGGGCACTCTAACCCCCTGGGCAGCAGGGAGCACGGAGGCCCCTCACGGAGATAAATAGCCTCCCAGCCGCTCCCCCTCCAATGCGGCTCCACCATATCAGAGCAGAAGCCCGAGACAGGCCATACCCACTGCAACAGCGGAGATAAACTCCATTGCAGCCGGGCAGGAATCAGAAGCCCTATCGGCACGCAGCTGCCCAGCACAAGCCACTAGAGGTCGCGGTTCTACCAGGAGAGGAAGGCCACAAACCAACAAGAAGGAAAGTTCTCCCAGCTGTCACTTGTGCCAGCTCTGCAAACTACCTCTATCGCCATGAAAAGGCAAAATTTCAGGAAGACCAAGATAACAGAGTCAACACCTGAGAAGGAGACAGACCTAACCAGTCTTCCTGAAAAAGAATTCAAAATAAAAATCATAAACATGCTGACGGAGATGCAGAGAAATATATAACAGCTAAGGGATGAAGTCCGGAGGGAGATTACAGACACCCGGAGGAAGATTACAGATGACTGAAAGGAGATTACAGAAGGGAAACAAACTCTGGAAGGATATATAAGCAGAATGGATAAGATGCAAGAGGCCATTGATGGAATAGAAACAAGAGAACAGGAATGCATAGAGGCTGACACAGAGAGAGATAAAAGGATCTCCAGGAATGAAACAGTATTA